GGTCTCTGAAGTGCTACACAGCAGTTCTTTAAATCCGCCGCTATTAGCGGGGCCACAAATGTACTTTGCCTGTGGAATTGCCAACAAGAAAGCTGGGGAAGGACTTTTCATAAGGGCAGTTAATGACAAAACAAGGGGAAATGGGTTTAAACTGAAAGAGGGGAGGTTTAGATTAGATATTAGGAAGAAGTTCTTCACTGTGAGGGTGGTCAGACACTGGAACAGGTTGCCCAGAGAAGCTGTGGCTGCTCCTCCCTGGAAGTGTTGAAGGCCAGGCTGGATGAGGCTTTGAGCAACCTGGTCTAGTGGAAGGTATCCCTGCTGATGGCAGGGGGGTTGGGACTGGATGAGCTTTAAGGTCCCTTCCAACCCCAACCATTCTATGATTCTATGAATGTGAGCTAAATTCATCTGAGTGTCCTGAACAAACCAGAGATACCAGCTTCTCCAAGTCTTCAGTTATACAGGACTTCATTGCAGTGTTTGCTCTAACTGCAGCTCCTACAAAGACGGTAAGATTCCTCTTCTAAAACCCAGTGTTCTCCCAAGATAGTTATTCCTGTCAGTGTTTAATTGATTCTGTTAGTGTAAATTAATAGTTTAATGACTTGTGGCCTCCCAGGATGGCTTTGATGGCAACTCCCACTGATTACAGTACCATAAGGATGGGAGCAAGGGCTTCCATGTTGCAGCCTGCTCCTGCCACCCCGGCTCTTTGTGACACCAAAGTCACTGTCCTTCTCCGTTTGCCATGAGTGGGAGGGAACAGAGCCACCCCAGAGGGGCCCAGCAGTGTGTCTGTGTGTAACTCTGAAGGTCCATGCATGGACATGTCCATCACTACTGCACAGCCTGCGATGACAAAAGGAGACCAGCGTAGATTGGCTCAGGGTAAGAGCCTCACGTGGAAGACACGGGATGGCAGGAGACAGGACAGGCTGTCGAGAGCTGCTGGGGGGCTGAGTCTGCACTGCTCCACCTTTCAGACCCCGGCATCTGCCAGGCTTTGCTGAGTGCAGAAGGGAACAGGATGATTTACTAGCTTTGAACAAATTACTCTACAGAAAAACAGTGATTCTTTTTACAAAGTTACTACTGGCTCATCTCCTTTTTAATTAGCTATACAGTAAATTAGTCATGAGTAGTGACTCAAAGTGATTAATAGGGCTGTTAAGAGTAAGCCTAGACTATACTATCACCTAGCCACAACCTGTAGGAAGTTCTGGCTGCTGAGAAGATGCTGATCTCTGTCTAGACAAATTAAAAGATTACAGACTGTACTTTCAGATTCTCTTTTCCAAGCAGAGTGTTTTACACCCATCATCTGATGCTCCTCTGCCATCGTAATCTCTGGCAATAACTGAGCTTCCCAATCCTGCAACCTTCAAAGGCTGAAAAAACACGTTGGCTTTGCTCTGGCCAGGCTTCCTGTTCCTTGTATCCAGGTCCTGCAAGCATTGCTGGAACGTGAAGCACCAAGCAAAGCTCTTGGGACCTCAAACTGAGCTAAGGAGGATCTGATCCTTCCCCAAACTGACTGAATTGTGGGCACCATCCTTCCACAAACTGCCATCCCCCACATCCTCTGTGCCACCCGCCCAGCTCCAAGGCTGGAAACAGCCGTACGAATGTGAGCACTGTGACAGTGAATCGAAAAAAAAGAAGCCTGGCCAGCTCTGCCATCGACTGCAGCTTGCTGCTGACTCACCCACGTGCACGGCCTTGAGCTGGCACTGCCTCATGGCAGGGAAGCTGCATGTTGGCAGAGTCACCCTGAAAAGTGCTGCAGCCCTCGGTACTGGGGACTCACCTGTGCATCGATAATCTTCTGCTTGGAATCCACGGCAGCCTGCATTTCTGCATGGTCCTTCTTTAACTCCTCCTCAACTGACATCAGCCTGGTAGCCCAACAGATGAGAAAAGAAACTACATTTGTTGGGCTCTGCTAAGCCCAGATATTAGTCTCATACATGTCTAAAGCAGCTACCCAGAGTGAATGATAAGGATCATGCCCTCATGATGAACATCTCTGAAGCACAGAGGAAGAGATGTGAAATACCAGAGAAGCTCCTACAGACAGAACTGGCCCCATCATCCACACCCGGTCAAACTGTCCCACCTGGAATTGCAATGCTGAGGCACTGGGTGATGACCCACCATTGTGCACTCGAGCACAAAGGAGACACAGTCACTGGCACTACCTCTCCTTACACACAAACCAAGAGTTCAGAACCTGGCTTTTTTCCAGCTCTTGCTCTTCGTTAAGAGCCATTCTCCAGCAGGCTGTCCCAGAGCTCAGGTGATACAGGACAGCAAAGGCTGACCAGTTACGAGGGCTGATTTAACGCATCGAGTTGGTTTGGCCCAGGTAAAGGTGACTCTATCTATCTGCACTGGAACAGGCTATGTCCCCCAGAAGTGTAACCACCACATCCCACTGGCTGGGAGTTACAGCGAGGAGGAATGGGATGGTGACGAGATCTTGAGCTGAACATCAGGAAAAGAACATTTTGATGGTTACGTCTATTGCTCATATGAACAGAAGAGCAAGCCTGCCAGATCCTCCAGGAACTGGGGCAGGCTGTCAGCTCTCACCTCCTCATGTTTTGCCTTTGTGAATCAGGAAAATGGCAGGGTTTTCCTTATCCCAGGTAACACTGATGGGGGGAACAAAAGATTCAGGGCCTGAAATCTCCCCCAGGGGCAGGAAGTGAATAAATGCTGGAAAACCCATGTGGAAACCTGCCTGCACCTCCAAAGAACCCTGATTCTCCTGAGCAGGGGGGTCAGCTCTAACGCCAGCCAGGCTGCCCGCCTTATTGCCATCTCCAGCATTCCCACTTGTCCTGTACCTGCTGATGATGCCCTTCATCTGGATCTCCTTATCCTCCTGCTGTCTCCGGAGCCGCTCCTCGCTCTCCTCCAGCCTGGCCTGGTACTCCAGCATCAGCTTCTGCGTTGTCTCCTCCTGGCACTTGAAGCGAGTCTCATACTCTTCCAGCTTCTTGTTGGAGATACGAAGCTTGTCCTGCAGCACCACGAGGTCCTGCTGGTACTACAGCACGCAAGGACAGACACAGGAGGAGAAAACACATGTGGGATGTTACCTAGTAGAGCTTTGCCCTTGCCAGGGTTTCCCCAAAACCCAACTGTGCCCCTCTCCTTGCAATAGACTGGCTGCAAACCCGTGTCAGATAACCCCGCTTGCCGACACCTCCTCTTCAGTCTTCTCCACACTGTGCTAGGAGCGATGCTGCGTTCCGCTGGACGGGCAGGTCACTGGCAGGTTCAGAGAAGGGGTTGTTAGCAGAGTCAGGCATTTCACATGAGGAATGCAGGTTAGAGGGAGGGAATGGCAAACGCAGCTGGCATTTTCCTCACACTAACAGCACATGGCTAAACACAGGCAGGAGAAGCTGCACCGCTGGGATTTTGGGTTCACACGAGCTCTTCAGTCTACAACAATAAATGTGGGTGTGTTGGAGCTGCTGGAAGCCCAGCAGGAGCTGTTGGTGCTGCCTGTCTCCTGTCAGGCCCCAGGCTCTGCAGCAGGGACAGACGTGGCCGCTGCCATCTCGGCACAAAGTGGTCACTCATCATCAGGGTGAGGGCAACTCGCTGGCGTGGGCACGGCCAGTGAACACCACTGCTTTTTGGGGCCCAGCCTTTTAAACCACGCCAGCAGATGTCAAAGCAGGGTTCAACCCAAGAAGAGCTGCTGCATGAAGCCAAGAGCCCACAGCTGTACTGTTCATTCAGATGAAGCTAAAAATCAGCAGCAGAAGAATCACGTAAAGCAATCAAGAAATTTAAGAGCGTTCTAACTCAGTAAAACCGGGTTCAGCTATTGCAGAAGCGGAGCACTCAGTACAACTTGCTTTGCTAAAGGAAAATCCAGTGTGCATCTGTACAAAAACCCCTCCATTTTCAGTTCAAAACATTATCTTTGGAAATTGTCTTTAAAAAAATAAAATCTCAACCGGGATAACCTCAGAATAATTAACAAACAGCTGATAATTTGACAAGCTGCTTTTCAAAAGCCAGATATGGGAAGAAGACTTCCATCTGAGTCATGAAGTCTGTTACAAAGCTGCAAGTGTGATTCATGAACTGACACAAATGTGCTTAATTGAGTCTGGACTTGGCTAGCTGGAAATACAGCCTCCCCCTCGGCCATCGCCGCTTGGATAAGCGCTCAAATGATGGACTTGGTTGTGTCCCCGTTTGGAGAGTCCTGCTGGGGAGGGTGACCAGCAGCACATCAGCTCTTCCCAAACTGCCAAAGTATTGGAGCTGTGGCAGGAGCTCTGAGCTCCTTCGGCCTGGGCAGGGACAGGCACTACCGATCACTCTGCTGTCCCTTTAGCAAAGCTTTTCCGGCAGCGCTGAAGCGACACGGTTTGCACATGTCACTGGGAGCGATGAGGGAACACAAAGGCCCGCACAGTCACACAGAAGCATCGAAGTCAGACAGAAGGGAGTTGCTTGAACAGGAAAGGTTATATACCTACCCTAGCCTTAAACCAGGAGCAGCGTAAGCGAGCTCAAATGATAGCAGGAGAGGCCTCAGAGCCCGAAGGAGTTGCTCCTGTCTCTAGAACACTTGTCTCATTCTTGTTCACTTCTCACAGTAACAGGGAGAGAGATTATGCTAATGGCGAGTTTTAATGTCAGTGACTGATGGGACAGCAAAGGAACAGAAGATGCTGCATGGGAATGAGACAGCAGGTTCCTGGGGGTGGGGGCTCCCTCAGAACTCGGGACAGGGACCGGTTTGCTGCTGCACTGTCAGAGTTGGGAATCCCACCATCATGTGCCTTGAGCAGGGCAAGGGACGGGGTGAGCCTGGCGTGTCCCGGGGTGCATTGGCCCCTCGGGTTGGTGTGGAAATGGAGCAGTCCCTGTGAGTGCCCACCTGGTAAAAGCTGAGCCCATTTCACAGGCCAGGGAGCCAGGAAGGGGATCAGTGACAACGCCTGGCACACACAGGGCCCGCAGCGCGGGGCCATCTGCCTGCCCGCGGGAGCTGGCAGCTGCGGGCTGGAGGAGGCCAGCAGGTTTCTGAGCCTGTAGCCCTTTGGCATTTCACCTCACTCCGCTCCCACTGCAACAGCAAAGCTGACCATGGTCATCTCCACTGCAGCCTCGAACGAGCACTGAACCCTTTCTGCAGCCCCTCAATGACTAAAGGCCGCGATAACCCAGTGCATGACGCGCCAGGCTGCGCTGCCTTCCCTCTGATTTGCTGCCTACTAGTGTCTCTGCTGAGGTGGCAGTCGAGGCTTCTGTACCACAGAGTCTGCTCAACACGCCTATTTTCCTGTGTCAGCTGCTATCTGATCAGTATGTGCCTGTGTATTTATTTACAGGAATACCCAAGGAGCACAAAGCCAGTAAGAAATGGGCTGAACTCTCAAAAAATGCTGCCAGGCTTTTCCTGGGGCAGCTGGGAGCTGTCACCTTGTACCTCCCCGTCCCTACGGTACCTGCCTTTGGCATTTCTCTTGAATTTAATGGATGACAGTCCCAAAGTGACAGAGCACAGCAAAATGAGAACAGGAAGGCTACCACAGAACCATGTCTGTGCTGGAAAAACAGGAAAGAAGCTCAGGGAGGGTGATGTCTGCAGTTCTGTGGGACCAGGTGGTAACGTGTGTGGTGTGACAGAAGAGCAGCACATTGAGGAAACATCCCAAATGCCAGCTGTGCCCCGCGGCAGCGGCCCTGGAAGAGCTGGGCTGCTGAGAGAGCACCTTGCAGAAGCAGCAGTCAACAAAGACGGGACCTTCTCAGCTCCTGACTGCTGGATCCGTATTTCTAACCCTTTTTTGTCATCCCTGGCCAGGTCTACCTGGTCTCTTCCCTGCTTCTCCCACTGAATACTCTGGAACTGACACCCTGACAGAGCCCCAGACTGGTCAGGCCCTGGTCTGTGTGACACAGCCATGAGCTCGGGGCAGTGTCCCCTCTACAGCAGGGGGAGTAGGAATGGGGGAAGTAAGAGGCACTATCTGGCTTCAGAGTTTGTTGCAGAGTAGCACCAGCACTTGATTCCTGGCTCCTGTTTACCTTACTCGCTTTCATCAGAGGGTAGTTCCAGTCACTGAGTGTGTGAAAACCTCCCAAACCTTCCCCAGAAGTGCCCTGTGAGGCTGGGCAGCCAGGCAACACCCCGCTCTCCTGGGCAGGGACATGCCACGCAGCCCACCTTGTCCCCAGGGTGCTCAGATGAACGACATTCAAGGAAATCCTCTCTCTATTTAGAAACTTGTTTCAATCCAATCAGGTTTTACCTTTTCTGCTTGGCTGAGCTCGTCCTTATTCCTGAGCTTATCCCTGTGCTTGGAATCTGGGTCAATGCTTTCATCTTCTAAAAACTGCATGTTCATATTCAAAAGCCAAGCAGCAGTGCGGTCCAGGGCATTGGGGTTCACAGGAGAAGGGGCCTACAATGAAACATACAACCATAACAAAAGAAAAAACCTGTAACAGAAATGGTCATGAAGCTGGAGAGAGAGAGTTTCCTTCCAAGCAAGCCCTCTCCCATGCTGCTCAAACAGCAACAAACGAGCCTGAGCCACCAGAGCAGCGGGGGCTGGAGGGCAGGATCAGCTCCTGTTCTGCACCTGCACATTATTTTAGGTCAAACAGCCTTTGACAGCTCAAATCCTTCCCTGTGCCACCCCCACAGAACAGAGGTACAGCAGCACGCTGCACGGGGGTCCTGCTCAAAGGACAACGGGCCCCGCTTCCTGAGCAGGTCCTGTCACCTCAGAGGGACACGACCCGAGACGGCACAGAGCTGCAGGCAAATGGAGGGGCTCGACGTGGCACATTCACGCTGCAGGAAGAGATTTCACTCAACTCTTCACCCTCTTCATCCCACAGGGGATCGGGATGACTTGGTCGAGGGAATCCAAGTTACCAAGTCAGAAACATCGAGGACTTTCTCCTTCATTCAAACCTCTGGACAGGAGAGACGCTCGGTCACCAGCAAGCAGCAGAACGTGAGGTTCTGCACTCGGAAGGAGTGGGGACTGGTTTAATCCCCTCACTGGGGGCTGGGGGCTTTCCCAGACCAACTTCCAGTCTGGTCTTCTACTTCCAGAATTTTAACTCAGAAGTTGCAGACTCAGCTCATGAAAATCATTGCTATAAATCCTCACCCAGCTTGTGGCTTTCTGCTTTTTCTTGCATCTCCAGCTGGGGCTGGCAGCTGCTCAGAATCCCTGGCTTCAAGGAGCTGTGGCCACTCGGGTTCATCTCAGCAGCGTAAAGGTCACTGGTAAAGGATGTCAATGAACAGAGCTCACAGTGCCCACTGTGCACGGTCCTTCTGCCTCTTTCTTCCTTCTCTGAAGAAGTGAGAAAGGACACCTGATCTGGCCTGGGACAGCTTGGAACTCAATTCAGCAGAAAAACTTAAGAGAAGTAGAGGAAGTGCTTCTGGTTGTCAGGAACGAGGTTCACGGTCTTCTACTACGATGGACACCAAATGGGACTTCTTTGTTCTCAAGCAGCATTTAATACCATCAACTATGAGTGAGCAGCTTCATTATGGCTGACAGATGCTGCTAACAAGTGAAATGTGCAGACTGAGGGCAGGAGAGGCATCCTGAGGACTTCAGGTCTTGAGAGAAACTTTGAGAAGACAACAGGAGTGGGTGGAGGAAAGATCTGCAAACACATCTTGGCCAGGGCTTTCCAAAGGTCACGGGGAGTTCAGAGTTGCCTTTCTCGAAGAAACTCTGCTACCAAAGAGGCTGCTGCTGCTCGCAGAGCTCTGTGCCCTCTGTAGCTACTGAGTGTTGATCCACATTACACAAACGCTGCTCTGTGGGACACCTGCTAACGTCAGCGCTCATGACTCAACACCGGACACCCGGGACAGCTCCAGGTGGGGCTGATAAAGCCCATTCAGTGGGCAGCACTGACCAAGGCTCCACGGCCGCCCTGGACAGCAGAGGCAGCTACACCAACTCTGCTGCTCCTTCAACACCGTGGGGCTGAAAAGGTGCCTTAATTCAGGGTCTCTGTTGGGATGCAGCGAGCTCTTGCCAGTTGTCCACATCCTCTGGGTTTGCATTACTTTCAAAACTTCTTCAGGCACCATGAGGCCCTACTGTGTTAGTTTTCTAAAGGGTTAATTCTGAAATGTAGGATGAATAAATGGGCACTAGAAAAACAATTTCTCCGTGCCAGGAAAACCCTGGGTCTGTGACCTACTGCTTTAAATTTTAGCACCACAAATTTATTTCTCTGCAGCCCAGCATGTGGTCTGGGACCCGAATCACTGCAGAGCTCTGCACAGCAGGAACCTTGTTCTGGTCAGGGAGGACACTCCTTCCTCACTGCTCTCACCTCCCCAGAGGTGCTGAGTGGTGCTTACAGGAGGCTCTCACAGTCAGCCAGGAGTGTCCGGGAGCGCCGTGGCTCTGCTGGGACAGGAGCAGCAGCAGGGAGACTCTCAGTGACAAGGGAGGAGTAGGGCCTGGTCCAAGCCTGGGAGATGGCGTGGGGTTGACTATGGCATGGGATGAGAGCCTGGGCATGGAGAGGCAAAGCAGTGACAAAATGGTAGTGCAGGACAGAGGCGTGGCTGCCATCGCCCTCGTGTCTCTGCCACCTACCGCCTTGCGGCAGCCACACGCCAACGTGCCACGCAACGGAGGGAGCAGAGATCGAACACTGATCTGTGTTCCCATCCCTGGAGGGACCCTGTCTCGGGCCACGCTGGGTGCGAGAGCAAAGGTACGTCCCCACATGCAATGCCACCACGGGGCTCGCACTGATGAGGTCACTCAAAGCCGGAATAACGTCCCCTCCCATTGCCAAGTTCTTCTCCAAGTCCATGGGCTGACCCTGTCCGGCCCCCGGAGCTGGCACAGCCCCCGAACTCACCTGCTTGTGCATCGTGCGCTGCTTCATCTCGGGGCTGTCGCCCTTGGAGGAGGAGGACTGCTGCCGGAGACGGGCCCCGCTGCCCGGCCAGTCTGGCGAGGAGGACATCATGCTGCCGCTGGAGGGTC